TTGTAGAATAGATAAACAAGATTACACTGCATAGCACAGGGAAATATACACAAAATGTTAATGATAAATCACAGAGAAAAAAATGTGACAATGAGTGTGTATATGTCCATGAATGACTGAAAAATTGTGCTGAACACTGGAATTTGACACAACATTGTAAAATGATTATAAATCAATAAAAAATGTTAAAAAAAAAGATATGGAAATTTCCAGCACTCCAAAAAATAAATAAATAAATAAAATAAAACACCTGGTTATAAATGGAAACAATGAAAAATACACAGCTCTAATAAAATGATAAAAGTTCTTGATGTACTATTGTGGAATGATATCCAAATTATATTGTTAAATGAAAAAAAAAGCACAAAAATTGAATGTTAAAAAGATACATAAGTGTGTGTGTACATGGGGATATGTATATAGTTCTTTACAAAAACAGGGGGTGAGAGTGGGAATCATAATAACATTGATAGATGCCCACGAGGAAGAGGAAGGCAGAAATAGAACAGCAGTCTATGTCAAACAAGCTAGATAGAAAGGTTTAGTGTCACTTGTATCAGTAGTTGTATGTTTTCAGATAATGGTCAGCTAGTGATGTGCAGAGCCATGATACAATAAAGTACATAAAACAGTTTCAAAAGGTAGGTGTCAAAAATAATTAAATTAGCACTTTAGCACTTATGAAGAGTTAACTTTTAATTCTTTGGATATAAAGATATTTCATTCTGAAGTATCCTGTAAGATTTGAGGTATATTAATATATTAGGTTTTAAGATTAGTTTCTTTTTAAAAAATCTGATATAAATTTCCTCAGTCAGAATTCAGAAGATCAGTAAAGGTATTTTGAAGACTTTTGTTGTACCCTTTATGTTTTAATGAAACAGTTTTGTTGATTGCCTTAACCTAATTTAACCTACCCCCTGAACTCTGAGAGTGACAATGTAACCAACTACATCTGTGTGGTGCCTTTTAAGGAGCTGGGCCTTGGACTTAGTGAAGAGCAGATTTCAGAAGAGGAAGCACATAACCTTACAGATGGCTTCAGCCTGCCTGCATTGAAGGTAATCCATTTGTGGAAGGGAGGAGCTGAAGAAGAAAGATAGATGCATTTGATTGTGCCTGTGCTTTCTGAACATAAATGGTGCCCCTGTCCTGTGCCTTTTTATTGTTTGCTGGGTGCCATTACTATAATAGCCTTACTGATGTATTTGAAGCTGCCTTTAAAGACAGAGCATCACGAAGATTGGATGAGGAGATCCTTATATTTTGATATCAAAATACTTAAAATTCTAACTAAAACATATAACATATTTCCTGCGTTAAATTAGAGATTAAAGATAAATGAGAATAGTAATAGGAATCCAACATGAATAATTTTATTTACTAGCCATTTGTTTTGACAAGCATGGGTAAAGAACTTATAAGACTTACATCTTCTCTTGGAAAATCTCCAAATATATGAAAAAATTCTTGTTTTAAATAAGAATTATATTAATTCTGATATTAAAAGCCACATAAAAGGATATATTTGACTACGTAAGAATTAAACTTCTAAACTTTAACTACTGCATACTTTAAATGTAAATAAGTTCGGGGGAAAATGCAATGATTTATAACAAAGGGCTTGAATTTTTTTCTATATAAAGAATGCTAAGGTATGTCAAACCTATTGGAAGATAGGTCATGTGCATGAATTGCCAATTCACAAAAGAAGAACTAGAAATGGCCAATAAATATGATAAAAATTTAATCTTTTTAGTAATGGAAGAAACAAATAAAAGCAATTAAGTAAACATTTTGCCAAGGATAAACTGCTTCACTTTAGCAATTAACACCAGTCTTCACAAAGGTATGTACCCTTTATGCCAACAATTTTAAACTTATAGATTCATCTCAGAAAGTACAAAGATATACTCAAAGTATGTTCATAATATTACTACAGCAGCAAATATTGGAAACAAATTAAAAGTTCACTAATATGAGATTGGTAATGATTTATGGTATATTCATTTGGTGAATTGCTTGGGAGTTAGTAGTAGAAAAAATAACATGAAAAAAATATAAAGCATGTTACAAAAACTGTATTGTAAGTTTCCAGTAGTATTTTTATATTTATATTTATTTTTATTTTTATTTCTAATCTTTAAAACTTGGTAACCATGGAAATCAGTGCAAGTATATGTGACAGTATATTTTTCAAGGTCTGTTTTGTTTTGAAACTGTATAAGCTTTTACATCTTTAAAATTTTCAGATCTACATAAAAGTTCTAGTTCTCCTATTTGCTTTTCTTTCCTGTTACTTGAAACTTGCCTTGACTTATTCTTAACCTCATTCTAACCCATCTCAAGAAATGGCGCCACACAACTTATTAAGCTAGAAACCTGGGTACCATCCTTCTTACCTCTTTACCCCTCACATCTAGGCTTTCAGTAGATTTTTGTGTCAGTTGTACCTTCAAAATATATTTTAAACTCATTCACTTTTTTTCATGTCCTCTCCCACCATTCTAGTCCTCGCTGCCATCATCTCTTACTCACCAAGGCTGCTTAGTTCTCTTAAGTTTCTTTCAAAAAGCAATTTGACATCTAGAGTGCCTTAAAAATGATATATGCTTTGAATCAGTAATTCCACTTCTGCAAATCTTTCTGAAGGAAGTGATTTCAAATATAGTAAAGCTTTATGTACCAGGTTGCTTATTCAGGCTACATGAATGTATATTCAGTATGGCCACAGCTGTTTTTTAAAAAAGACTGAGAAAATACCAAGATACCAATAGCTACTCTCTAGGGTGGATGCACTATAAGTAATTCCATTTGCTTCTAAATTCAGTACAGTGACCATGCTTTACTCTGTAATAGAAATAAAGTTATTTTCAAAGGACAATTTGAGAGATTCTTACTGAAGAAATAGCAGGGACTTTGTAATTGATCAGACTTAGGTTTATATTTTAGCTCTGACACTAATAGCCATTTGACCTTGAGTGAGTTATTCTTTGAACATACATAATCTATTTTTAAAAAAGGGTTATCATACCTGACCTACAAATTGTTAGATTAAATGAAAAGACATACAAAATGCCTACAACAGGGCTTGTTGTATAATGGTTAAGTCAAAATGGTAGTAGCAGTTACTCTTAAGAAGGAATTGGAGAATTATGATCCTATTTCTTCATTTCCTGTTTAGATTATCTTTGTTTACTCATCAAGATGTCTTAGTGATTTCTCTATTTCTCTATACTTTTTAAAAAGCTTATTAAATCCTGAATTACATTTTGGCCCAAGTATAGGCAGCAAAGAGAAAAAGTGGGCCCCCTAGAATCCGACTTTCCAGGTTTGACTCTAACCTATCACCTGACTGCTGATGTGTTGAGCAACTCATTGTTTCTGTGTTCATAAAGATGGATAATCTTGCTTATCACTAAAGAATTAAACATTTGCCAGTGCAATGCCTGAGACAGAGTGAGTGATTAATAAATGCTAGTTGATTTTTTAAATTGCATCGAATATGACCTATTCCCAAATGTGTGACGTGTTCACTTGTTATCTCCCCACCCCACCAGCAGTGATGCTGGTTGTAGCTGGATCCTTTTTGCTCACCCATGTTATTTTGAAAATCAGACAAACTTTAGTATTTTAATTTTGCTTTATTTTAACATATAACTAGTCTATAACCAAACTTGATTCTGTTGTAGTGTTACCAAGAATATTGGACTCTAAAAGAAGCCTTGAGATTTATAGAGTTTATAAACTGCTGAAAACCCCAGTAGTATTCAAAAACTGTAGTGCTACCTTGTACAGTTGCCATTATACTCAGATAAAGAATTTTAAAATGGATTTTGTAAGTTAAATTTTATTTTATTTTATTTTATTTTTTTGGTAAGTTAAATTTTAAAAGAAAATTCTTTCTCAAAAGAACAAGACTAATTAAAGTTTTTTAAAAATGTAGTGAAAGATGGTTTATACATAAATCAGGGCCTTTTGTTTTCCTTTGTAATCTTCATTATATCCTATAAAGAAAATATGTATTTTTAATTGTTTACGTATCTTCCCTCAGGAAAGCTTAGCAATAATAGCAAGTGCAGCGTCTTTGGAAAGGAAAGCAACTTCCTAACTGCATCCTGAGGAGACATGTGTGAAATATTTAGTACAGAGCTCTTATTCTTTGTGTAAAATTTTAACTAGTTTTTAAATTATTACTATTATAAATTAGTATATTTCCTGCTTTAAAAAATAAATCTACATCTTATGAAAATGATTTAAATCAAAATTTCCTAATTGCCCATTAAACTATGGTTATCTTCTCATCCAGAGCAGCCTCCTTTATTCAAAGAGCAAACAGAAAAAAAAAACAAACATATATTTCTGAATTGGTTTAATTGGATAATTTGGTAGTGATTAGGTAATAACTTAGTCTTTCTTAAAATGGCAGTAACCTATGCCAACTTTGTTTTATAAGTTGCTGTGGCCCAAAACTCTGGAATGATCCTTGTTAACACTCACCCTCATAAACAAACTGTCAAGAGATTCTGTCAGTTCTGTTTTCACAATATATCCAGAGTCTGACCTCTGCTTACCTCTTACCCCTAACCACTGTGGTATGAGCTACCTTATTAACTCTCAACTGGATTATTGCAGTAACCTCCTAACTTACTCACCTCCCTATCTCTCAACACAGCAACCATAATGATCCTGTTAAAGCATAACTCAGATGTTATAACTCTTCTGCTTAGAACCCTTCAGTGGCTCCCCACTTCTCTTAGAGTAAAAACCAGGGTTACTTCATTGACTTCATATCTTATCCTGCTCCCGCTCGTTGACTATGCCCCAGCCACACGGACCCGGCTATTCCTCAGGTGTGCCAAGTATACTCCTACCACAGGACTGTGCGCTTGAACCTCCTGCTCTCCGGAACTCCCTTCTCTCATGGTGGCTCAATTCCTTCAGATGGCACTTTTTTTAGAGACCCTCCTGGCCACCCCTCTTTCCCTCCGCTTCTCTCTCCCTATCCTTCTCCCACATGTACACCACAAACACACATTTGCCATTCCCCTTTCCTGATATATTTTCCCCATACCCCATCAGCCAAAAAATTATCTTCTACTTGTTATTATCTATTGCCCCCTACTTGAATATAAGCTCCATCAGTCCAGGGTTATTTTTCAGTTTTACTCTCTGCTATATTAGTACCCAGAATACTGCCTGGCACATCGTAGGTGCTCAGGAAATATTTGCTGAATGAACAAATAAAGGAATAAAAATCATTGTAGTAACAAAATCTAACGGTTAAATAAGAAGACTTGTGAGATAAGCTTGTATTTATATTTAGGAATTCCTAGGTAGTATATCTTTAGTGATTTGGAATTTTGGCCTTGCTCATTTAAAAAATGAGTTAATAGTAAAATAGCTTTACATTAAATTATCTTATTATTTCCATAACTTTAAAATTCATTTAATAAAAGTTTAAATAATGTCCATTTTCATGGTTATAAAAAATTAGAATCTATATTATCCAAAGTGGTTCAATCCTCTTTTTTGTTGTTTGCTAACTCTTGTTCATGCTAGATTGTTTCCTCGTTCACTTGTTTGTTTGATGTCCTCTTGCATAGGACTGGAGAAATCCTTTGCTGTCTGGAGTCGCGGTGTATCTTTCGAGAATGGGTGTTGTAGATCCTCATGACAGACATTCCTGAGTATGATCACTGTGGGACTGATTTTTATGCTATTTGTTAGCTATTTCCTAGGCCAAAACATGGTGTAATTTTGAGCCCCAAACTGTGGATTCATCAATGACTCATTTCTGTGGACTTAAATAGGTCCATCATTCCCACTGTCTCTTTTTCTCCTTTTCATAAATTTTTAAAATAATTCATCAAGGAGCATTAACTTCTAATAGATGTCTCATTCTATCAACACTCCCCTTTTAGGGTAGAACTGTACTAAATTATATACTGGCATTAGCTGCTATATTGGGATCAGAAGTTCCCATGAGCCATGACTACATTATTTGATGTTATATTCTTCATTAGCCTTAGGTTAGTTCAAGCTCAGCTATATTCGTTATGTAGGATAAAGTGAAAAATTTAAACCAGAAGTTAAGATAAACAAGTTTGTGTTGAATTTTTTATTGATCTAGTCCTTTCTTCCTTTCTTTCCTTCTTCTTTTTTTAGGTTTTATTCCAACTCTGGGTAGCACAGAGTTCAGAGTTCTTCAGACGGTTAGCCCTATTACTTTCTACGGCTAATTCACCTCCTGGGCCCTTACTTACTCCAGCACTTTTGCCTCATCGTATTTTATCTGATGTGACTCAAGGTCTACCTCATGCTCATTCTGCCTGCTTGGAAGAGCTTAAGCGCAGCTATGAGTTCTATCGGTACTTTGAAACTCAGCACCAGTCAGGACCCCAGCGTTTATCCAAAACTCAACAGAAGTCAAGAGAACTGAGTAATGTTCACACAGCAGTACGCAGCCTGCAGCTCCATCTGAAAGCATTACTGAATGAGTAAGTTTAGAAGTCATGTAAGGAAATGTCCCCGTGATCAGCAGGCTTCATCCTTGTGCCATTGCAGTTGTTGGCTTGTGTCCTAGCTAAAAAGAAACAGCAAAATTGAGACTTGGAGCTCGAAGGATGGTGTATAGCTACAAATGTAGCAGACAAATAGTGATTATAAGGACTGTAATGGGGGTGGAGGGTCATTTATAGTTTTTACTTTTCCTGATTTCAACAGAAAACCTAGAAATGTAAGACAAAAACACGTTCATTCTGAGAGCTGAAATGGAGAAGTATACAAAGTGCAAGCTTGTTTTAACTCTTTTAAGTAGGGCTCTTAAACTGGAACCTACAATCTAAGAGAAGCATTTACTGGCACTGGAACAGTAAATTATAAGTATTGTTATATATAGTTAAAGAGTAATATATTGCTATTTTTCTGAATAAATTAAAGCAGGTTTGGACATTTTTCTGGGCACAGAACATTTTCTTTTGGCCTCAACTGAATAGTAAAACATAGGGCCCATAGTTTGTATTTGTTGATTTTGTACTTTGCGTGGTATTGTTGGTACTCTGCCTTAGTAAAATGTAGGGTCTAGTCATTCCAGTGAAATTTTTCTGTAACAGATACTCATAGTATAGGACTGGATCAAATTAATGATTGGGTTTACGTTGTGTTGTAATCAGGGCAAGGTCATCAAAATTTAATGAGTTGAGAAGATTGTAGTTGATATACTTGACCTTGGATACCAGGCAAGAAGTGGAAGGGGAGGCAACACTTGATTTTGTAAGATAAGAAAGTGGGTGAAAAGGACTTGACATCTTGGAAATCAAGAGGCTAGTTTACTGGAGTGAAGAAGGACGTGATATACAAGGAGAGGAAACTAAAGTCAGAAAGACATTTTAGGAAGGTAAGTTTTTATCCACCAGTTCAAGGTCTGAGATAGGTTATAAGGTTGATGTAAAGGTTAGGACATAGGGGAAAAATAAGAAACTGAGGCTAGGATGTTTCTGTGTTCATTTGCTGCTGTTCTAAGAAAGCAAATTCCTGTCTCCCACAGGGAATTTGGGAGATAGGGCAATCTCTACTTGAGTGGGTGGCAAAAGTGGGATCATCATGAGGGGAAAACAGACTTTCAGTGAAACGGTTGTGTTAGGCAAAGCCAGGGTCTATAAAGAATTAATGTTTGGCAATAGACCCAGAAATATACAGGGCATGATGGAATGCATTATTAGCACTAGGGAAGATGACTCAGAAGGAGTCACAATGGATGGGGAAATGACAAAGAAGGGCTTTGTACCTTGGTCAGGGATTGTGGATGATCTTGGGAAGTATGTTTCCTGTTTAAAAATTAAATATTCCATATATGCTATATATGTCACCTTTCAAAATATTTTCAGTAGAGAATAAATCAGTCACAAACCATCATAGCTGATTTGCTCTTTAGCACTGCCACACACAGATATTAAAAGTGTTATCTAAAAAATTGTTTGGCATGTCACTCCTCCCTCTCCCTTGTCCCCTTCGCTATGCCCAGTCTCCCTTGCCTACACGAGGGCATTAACCCTTTAACGTTCTCCCAGCCTCCAGAGTGCTCACTGCCAGTTCATGTTTCTGAGGCGTATATTTGCTTTCTTACTTAACTGGAAATCTTCACTGGTTTTGGAGTGTAGCAGCTTAGTCTAAAATCTGTATAAACCATTTTTTGGAAAGAGTTTGCCATAACCTGACTACGGTCTGCTTTCTGTCTTTATTGCTCACTCCATTCCTTCGGTCCAGCCAAACTGCATAAATGCCTTTTCCCACGTACCATCTAGAATGACCTTCCTTACCTTTTGTACGTGGGCAGATTTTATCCATCCTTCAGTGTACCTCAAAAGTAACTCTTCCTTAGCTGTCCCCTGTCTCTACGCACAGCTGGTAGTAACTTCCTCTTCTGAATTCTTACAACCTTATCTTTATTTCTCTGTCATTTTGTGCCTGGATTCAGCCCAGCTTTATAGCTCACCAGCTGTATGACCTGGGCAACTTTCTTCAACTCTCTAGACCTAATTTCTCACCTGTAAAATGGAAATAAAATGTTAGTTTTAACTTTTTATTATGTTGTATCACATTTATATATATGTGTGTATAACTTCCCTGATTTGGTATAAGTTTCTTATAAGTTGGAGATGGGTTTGATTTATCCTTTCAGTTTGTAAAATGCCTGGCATATATACAAGAAATATTTGTTGAATAAATATATTATACTCTTTTTATAAGATTTTTTTAAGTTGTGGTGAAATATATATAAAACATAAAATTTACCATTTAGCTATTTTTAAGTATACAGTTAAGTGGCATTAAGTACATATACAGTATCATGCAACTGTCACCACCTTCCATGTCCAGAACCTTTTTTTATGATATAAGATTATTCCTTAAATAAGCCTCATGAATTATACATTTTATTTCATATTTTAGAGATCTGTTTCTGTTGTTCTTTATTACTCAGGGTAATAATTCTTGAAGATGAACTTGAAAAGCTTGTCTGTACTAAGGAAACACAGGAACTAGTATCAGAAGCTTATCAAATCTTAGAACAGAAGTTAAAGTTGATTCAGCCCCATGTTCAAGCAAGCAACAATTGCTGGGAAGAGGCCATTTCTCAAGTGGACAAATTGCTACGAGGAAATACAGATAAAAAAGGTACCTATGAGAGATTTCTTTTGCATACACTTACTAGATATGTTTATTCCACTCTGGTAGGATTTTATTAGGTGTATTTCATGTCTCCGTGATGAAAATGACTTGACAAAATTCCTTAGTTTACTAAAAGAAAAAAAATTTGAACTTATATGTACAATATGACACTGAATATAAAGTCTTGGCTGGGTTTTTGTTTGTTTGTTCTTTGGGGGTTTTTTTGTTTTGTTTTTTGTTTTGGCTCTTATTTTTGTAAATGAAAAATGAACATGATTTGAAAGTTCCCTGAATTATGTACCTCCCCCCCACTATAGTGCTCCTTTTTAAAAAACTTAAATAAATGAATAGATTTTAATAGTATTATTCCTTTGATAGAACTTCCAGAAACTCTTTTCCAGTTAGAGTAATAATGGGTTTGATAGTCAAGGACCAGAAATTTAATTTTGCTTTTAAGATAAAATACTTCATTCATTCAAAAATAGTATACAAATGCTATATTAGGTGGCACTGCATATTTGTTATTAAGGGTCTGAAATGTATTGTGTCATTATTTAATAGTAACATTGGAGTGTCTTGTACTGCTAGGTAAAAAAGCAGTCTTGAAATTTTCTGCAAAACTGCTTTTCTTTGGACTCAGATTTTATACTTATTTTTACTAATTTCATTAATTTCATTGTAAATGTTTGGCATATTAATTTTTAAGCTTGTGCTATAAGTCTGTACAATGATGAGGTTAACTAGATTTACATATAGAAACTCTATTGCTGCCTAAGGTGATTAACACTTTATCATCCAGTTAGTCATTGTTGTGTTTATAGCTAAATCTGCAATACTCTGTTTAATGTCTTAACTTTTTTCAAAGAAAATGTTAACATGCGAATTACTAATACTACCAGTAGATTTCCTTTATATCTCAAATGTAAATGGTGAATAATTTTTCCCCTAAAGGATAAATTTGCTATGGATTGTTAATGTGTGCAGATATTTATGCATATTAAACTTTTTGATATGACTTTAGAGCTTTTGAGTACATTTTCTATAAATAGAAACTGTAAGACTGGGTGTTAAATATGCATCCCATTCACCCCTCCCTCTGAGGTGTTGAATGTTAGTCAATCACTTAAACTTTATTATTAAATTTGTTTCCAAATCATTGGGCAGGGCAAGAACCATTTCTTGATAATCCTCTGTACATGTGGCTTTCACTCATAGGTAATAATGGTATGAATTAAGATACAAATATTCACAAACTTTTCTCACTAAAATGCTCATAGTATCTTTGGGTACACAACTTGAAATAAAAGTGTTCATTTGAATTTTTTAAGAATCAAGTGCTTTAGTTGTATCTCTTTTTTTAAAGTTATTTCAAATTTATAGGAATATCACAAGAATAGTTCTAAGTACCCTTCATCCAGATCCCCTAGTTGTTGACATTCTACCACATTTGCCTTATCTCTCTGTGTATCTGTATATAAAAATTTTGTGGTATTATTCTGAACCATTTGAGAGTAAGATGCAGACATGAAACCCTTTACCCCTAAATACTTCTGTTTGCATTTTTGAAAAACAGACGTTCAGTATAACCATCAAAATCAGGAAACAGCCCTAGAGTTCTTCAGCTGATAAGTTAGATAAACCATTACATCCATCCAGTATAATGGAATACTACTCAGAAATAAAAAAGAAATGAACTACTGATACATCAATAAAATGGATGATGCACTACGCTAATCAAGAGAGACCAGACTCAAATCACTACATACTGATTCCATTTATATGACATTCTCAAAATGATAAAATTTAGTAAGAACAGAAAACATATCAATCATTACTAGGAGTTTGATACAGAGGGAGGAATAGGGTATAAAGAGGCCACATAAGTAAATATTTTGAGGTGATGGAACTGTTCTATATCATGGTTGTGGTGGTAGTGGTGGTTATATGGGTCGAATTTATCTAAACTCATAAGATTGTATAACAAGATGAATAAAATAAAATAAATTAGCTTAATATTTTTTCAACCACTAATTTTAGCATTCATTGATAGTTCTTGCTTGAATTGGGTATTACTGCGATGGTTGCTCATGGTAATTTTCTTTTTATTTATTTAAAATTGTTTTAATTTTTGGCAGGGAGATAATCAGGTTTATTTATCTATTCAATTATTTTGTAATGGAGGTACGGGGTGGGGATTGAACCCAGGATCTCCTGCATGCTAAGCATGCACTCTGCCACTGAGCTATACCCTCCCTGCTGGCAATGGTAATTTTCTAATTCCATTTTCCTTTTACACTTACTAGCTGACACTCTGTTGTAAGGTTAAGCATCCCCTTTTCCCACTCATTTACTTATTTATATCAGTATGGATGTATGGATGCTTGTTTCATTTAATAGATCATAATTTATTATTATTATATTGTTGCTCAAGTTGTCCAGGGTTTAACCAGAGGGAGCACATTCAAGATAGTTCATGTCACCATCATTCTTTGAGCACTTCTTTACTTTGTCTCATACTTTTCTTGCCTCTAGCCCTAACATCAGCCTTATCTCCAAGAAGCCCTCATTCCTTTTAATGGAAAATAACCAAGAAACCAAGATCTGGGTGCTAGGTATGCTTATAGCCACTGGGATGTTATAACTTTTACCACTTTTCAGTGTACAGAGCTGTGAAATATATCTGCATGTATACACATACACACATCTATATCTATTTCTCTATCTGTCCATATATGTCATAAACTAGGAGTTCATACCAGTACTTCCAGTTCTATTCCAATACCACATAGTTTATTCTGGCCTTCCCTCTTTCTATATTTGTTCCTCCCCTTTTGTGATTTTGAGAAGCTTGGCTCTCTTTATCTTCAATATACTTGCTTATTTACTCAGTCCTTTATATGTAACCAATCGCCTGACCCTACGGGCTGTCTCCTAAGTCACATTTCTGCTGATTCACACCTTCTTCCCATCCCAGCCTAGCTTGTTTTGACCATACCAGCACATACCAGCTGAGAGTCTCCCTAAACTCTGGTCCCAACCATTTATCTATCATTACTCTTGAAAGGTAAAAGTTGAGAGGCTTAAACTTGACTTCTGTAAAGTACAGAGATAATGATAAAAGGTAGAGAGCTGGATATGAGACTGAGTAGCTACAATATTAGATGCCAAACACCAATTTTAAATAAAGTTAGGCTCACTTGGGTGATCTTTTCAAGCTATTTACTTATGAAACTCATTTCTGATTCTAACTTCTGAGAATAAAAATAGTGTAAGTGAAGTGCAAGACTGAAGTCTATTTTTTGTAAGGAAGAGTGATGTTCTGTCTTGAGACTGTTTCTGTGCCTTAAACAAAGTTGACTGTTCACAGCAAATATATAGAGTATCCATTGTGTCCCAGATACTATGGTAAGGTGAAGAAGAAGGGGAAAAACAGTTTTTCCCCGAAGAGTTTGATATAATTTAAATTATAAATCTACTGATGTTACTCTTGTTAATTTTAATTTTTGTGGGGGGGGGTTAATTAGGTTCTACTTAATGTATTTATCTTTTTTAAGAGGAGGTATGGGAATTGAACCCAGGACCTCATGCATGCTAAGCATGTGCTCTACTACTTGAGCTATACCCTCTCCCCTGTTAATTTTAATAAATGTTCACTCATTTATATGTGGCCTATTCTTTTTTTAAGGCAAACCTGAAATGGCATGTGAAAACCCACACTGTACTGTGGTACCTTTGATGCAGCCTACCCTACACATTGCAGATGAAGATCCAATCCCTGAGGAGCAGGTAAGGGTGAAAATTGCTTTTTCTCTCCTGAAGAGTTTCATGTACAAAGCTTACCTATCTTTTTCTGTAAGTGACATGGATAATTGTTGAATAAGTTGTTGAATTTGTATTTTTAATGAGCTACGAAATCACAGTATAATGCACTGAATTTATACCAGAGTTTTTAGTGCCTTGAGTTTGAACCCATTGAATCTACCAGCCAATTTTTTGGTTCTTTATATCTATTTGTCTGTTTCTTAGATACTCAAAAGTGATTAAGCACATTAAAAATTAGTGCATTGGCAAAGGTAATTTCTGGGATGCTGGAAATGTTTTTAATCTTGATCAGAGTGATGGTTACCAGTATGTGTACATATGTAGAAATACTGTACACTTAAGATTTGTGCATTTAGCTGCATGTATGTATGTTATACCTCACTTTAAAGAACACTTTTTAAAAATGATTTCATCAGATGTTGACAACAAATTGCTTATTCTGAGGAAAACTTCTTTTCTTTGGGTTATATTGTCTACTCAGTATTCTTAATTGTAAAGGGAGACCAATCCTATTAAGTTTAACAAACAAGAAATTAGTTTAAAAACATTAGGTATAACTGACAGAATATTTCAGAGGGCCAGGTAATCGGGCTTGAACCAGGCTGGCGTGAACAACCAAAATCACTCAAAAGAACTGTTCCAATAGCAACATTACTGCTAAGTCACTGGGTACAGACAAAACTCTTTTTAGAACCTCTACCTCTGGAAACTTCATCTGCTACCATCCTTGCTAGAGTGGATTCCTCAAGATACTTATTTCTTTTACAACAAACTTCTGAATCAGATCTGATCCAGGTTCACCTGATTAGAGGATCTCAGGTCATTTTCCTGAACCATAACTGCAAAGAAACCTGAGTAAGCAAGGATCCTACTCTCTGCCTTAGAGATAAGGAGAACCATAAGATGAGGTGTTCCTCAATCCTAGAAATAGTGTCTAAACTTCCTGAGAAGTCAGAAAGAACTACAGATGTCTACCAAAGAAAGCTAACATACCTGGCCACCTCCCTAAACCACCAGCCCTGCTAATTTTGGTTGGTTTTGACAGAGCTAATAACTGTAATCTTGACTAGATCTATAGAATGGTGTCAGAGTAGAATGATAATGATTGAAGTTGTTAAACTTTCTTATCCACAACCCTTTTTAGTATCAAGTAAGTTCTTTTAGATTTCAGTTTTATCTATGTTTGCTTTGTTTGCCCAACTGTGCTTTAATGACCTGTGGCAAGAATCCTCATTTTTCAGTCTTGGAGATTGAAATGAGTGCTACTAGAAAATTGTTTGCTTGAAGTACATTGTGTTTTCTTTTATTTATTTTCAGGAATTAGAAGCTTATGTAGATGATATAGATATGGACAGTGATTTCAGAAAGGATGATTTTTATTACTTGTCTCAAGAAGACAAAGAGAGACAGAAGCGTGAGCATGAAGAATCCAAGAGGGTACTCCAAGAACTAAAATCTGTGCTGGGATTTAAAGCATCAGAGGCAGAAAGGCAGAAGTGGAAGCAACTTCTATTTAGTGATCATGGTAAGCACTGACTTCAGAGTAAAAGGTTATTTGAATGTAAGGGATTCTTTTCTGTTGAACTGTGAATCTTATTTCAGCTGTAGAATTCTTATGGTTTTAATTTTAGGGATTCATCAGGAAGTATAGTATTTTTCTTCTAGACACAAAATCAATTTGATCAATGAAAGAGTAGATATATAATCAAATTGGGAATATGAAATCATACTTTTTTCATCAGTTATTTGATTTTTTTTTACTGAATTTGTTTTGGAATGAATAGTGAGTTGAATAAATTAGAGTGTTCAAATTTAGTCAATTTGAGATTCTAAACTCTGTTCTCTTTATGTTGACATTATAATTACTTTAATAAAACACAGAATTAATAACTGTTCACCATTAAAACAAGTGAATTGAGATCTAGGCCCTTAGCTGTATCATTGGGTTATTAAATTGATTTGAGCACTCTAGTAGAAGGGGAAATGAGGTGCTTTTGTACATGCTGTCTCCATGCCTGGATTTGGACAAAGTTGGATATTTGGTATGACCAAAGATTAGCCTTTAACTCCTTTATATTTCCCACCCTTCTTTTCTTTAGTTGAACTTCATGGGAGGCAGGGGTGGGAAAGAGGGAAAGCTTGACAATATCAAACAGGCTAATTCCCAGTTTAGGAATTAATTCCTATGGATTTCTAAGAAGGTGGAGTGGAATTTCCCTTCCATTTTAGAGTATGTGTCTATGTGGAGCCTCAAAATCAACTTCTTTCTCTTTCCTTTCTCTTTTTCACTAGAATTATATAGATTACTTATACTCTGGAAAGTTCCTCATGGTTCTCTTTTCTTCTCTTAGGAGTCCTACCATCTTCCTTTGTCCAGATGTACATTTCTTGTATTCCTTCTTCCCAGTGGCCCCCTTTGTAGCCCAAGTCCTCAAAAGATTATGCTATATATATTATAATAGCCTCTTAGCTGACTTGCATTTTCAGTACTTTTTTCTTCTAAGCTGTTCTTAGAAAATACCTTACAAGCTTCTAAGATAGCTTCTATCCTTGCAAGCTAACTTCCAGATTTTTCTCAAACAGCACATTGATAATACCTCTCTATCTTAAAAACCTACAGTGGTTCCCCTTTCTTATTGTATTAAACCTAAACTTTTCTTGGTTTCAAGCCTCTCCATCATGTCCATCATATCCAATTATATTTCCCACTATGTCTAATATAGATATTTTCCTCTATTTATATCTATCTAATTAGACAATGGTTCCACAAACTTGCTGTTTTTATTAATGAAAAACATTCATGGCGATCCCTTTACCAACAATTCTGTCTTCTCCACCAAGCTGTCCTCTCCACCAGTCTTTCCTCCATGAGTCCTGCCACCTCTCCTGCACTACAGACCCTCTCACCAGAGGGGCACTATAGTGGAATAAAAGGAAATCTTGAGCAGCAAAGCATATAGTAGATTAAGAACTTCCCAGAAGCAGCAGTAAAAATAGAGTTCCTGCAACCTAATATTCATATATTGGGCCTATGTAAATCAGAAATTAAGAGTATTATGTTTTAGGCATTGTTTTCTACGCTATCAATTTTTTGTTGTTTTTGTAATTAAATTACAGTCTTCTTAAATTGGTACTTTATTATGCCCCACACTATCCATTCAGCAAAGTGTTCATTCAACAAGTAGATATTTAAGATACTGTTTACTGCTTTATCCCTAGCACATAGATCAAGAAATCCCCACACTCCTGGAGGTTTATATTCTAGCACAGTGTTAATGCATTTTCTGGAATATGTGACCCCGTTTAATTAACAGTAATCAAGAATATCTATCAACGTCAAATATATGTTGCATTCTTTAAGAATTAGCAGATTTATAGGCTAACACTGTACATGAAGTCTGAAAATAGCATTGTGTATAAACTTGTATCCTTTTTTATTTAGTATTTTCTTCATATAGCTTTAAAATTATCCTCTTACAGTATAGGCAAAGATATAACGATAAGAGGAATGTGTTTCTTTTTCAGGTATATGCTTTTGGTAGTTTACATTTGAAAGGACAATAATGCTGATTTAGTTTGTGAAAATAACTAAAAACCTGATGATACCATAAAATGCTTTTCCCGTGAAAAATTTCAGTACATCTTCCAGAGTTGTTTTCATCTCTGCCTACAGGGGTAAAGTCCGAATGGAATTAGAGAGGGAAATTCTACACTGGAACCTGCTGTGGCCATTTTTTTCTGTTGTTGCTGCTTCTCTAGTGGAGTTACTGCAGCTTAGGGATCTGTTTCTTGGAAATGGACACATTTTACAAAATTATTTTTTAAATAAACGCCAGATCTTCAAGACGCACTTTTTTTTTCTTCCGTCATGCTTCATAACATATTGTATTGTACTAACCCCTCATACTGGGAGGAGAGACTGCCTAGCAAGCAACCCACTGCCTACTAACATCAAGAGGGGCTAAATAAAACTTCATTTTCCTTGAAAGGACAACTTCTGCCGTATGGATGTAAAATTTATGTATTGCGCTTTGTACCATAGTTGATCTGGAATGCAGGTTTTATTTATTTTATATTTTTCTGTGGCATTACAAAATGTGTAGAAGTTATGGCTTTACTGTCATCAGGGTCTTGTTAGGTGATTGGCAAGTGAGTTGAATTGTATGTTACATTTTTTTTTTCCATGCTGTTTTAAATTGTAAATATATATGTGTTGACGATAGGATTATTATCTGAATTATTCTTAGGCCTTTTATCTGACACATTATCAGTGAAAACCATGCTGCTTATTCTTTAACACAGTGGTTCTTAAACTTTAGTGTGTATCAGAATCCGGTGGAGGGCTTGGGAAACATAACCAGTCCCCACTCAATTTCTAATTCGGTAGGTCCAAGGTGGAGCTCAAGAATTTGCGTTTTTACCGAATTCCTCAGTGATGCACTAATGCTGTTGGTTCAAGGACCACACCTTGAGAACCAGTGCTTTAATATTTTGAATAAGAAAATATATGAGGTGTCTTAAAATATTCATCAAAACCCCATCTCATTTCATTACTCGAGCATTTTATCTCATAAAGTTTTCTGGTTTTATAAATTTACATTGATTTTACTAGAAAGTTTTATTCAGCTTTTATTTACTTACTGTTCTTAATAAGAAAAAAAAGCTACTGGGAGTTTAAATTAAAGTTTAAATCAATCCTGGGTTTTTAGTTATTATTTTTCTTTTCTTTTCCTTTCTTTTTTTTTTTTTCCCTTTGAAGCTGTGTTGAAATCCTTGTCTCCTGTAGACCCAGTGGAACCCATAAGTAATTCAGAACCATCAGTGGATTCAGATATGGGGAAAGTTGGTAAAAATGATGCTGAAGAGGAAAATAGTAAACCCTCCACAACTGACAATGAAATAAGTAGTAGGACTGAGTATCTATGTGAAAACCCTCTAGAAGGTAAAAATAAAGACAGTTCTACAGATGAAGTCTTCCTCCAAGGAGCTGAAGAAAGAGTGTATTACCAATTTGAGGGCGAAGATGAATCTCAGCAGGCAGATGTAGGTGGCCTGGCCCCTGCCCACCCAACCCCCAGGGACTCATCACAGCCCTCCATCAAGCAGAGGCTGGCACAACTACACCTGTCGCCGGATTTTACCTTCACTGCTGGCCTCGCTGCAGAAGTGGCTGCTAGATCCCTCTCCTTTACCACCATGCAGGAACAGACTTTTGGTGATGAGGAGGAAGAACAAATAATGCAAGAAAATAAAAATGAGATAGAAGAAAAGTAAGAACCAAGATTTACATGAAGGATTTTAAATTATTCTTTTTATGAAAGTATTTTAGCTTCAAGACTAGATATTCCACTGGAAAGGGAAAATGAGTGTAAGTTTAGTATATGTAAAGTTAAGATGTGAATTTACAGGAAGAACCCAGGTTTGAACATCTGATCCAAAAATAGTAGTTACCTATAAATGGCAGATCTTTTAGGAAGATAGGAGAAAGGTGAGGGCTCTTTTGAATAAACTGCTGTTTTATTTGCAGCACAACTGATCATTTTGGAAATTCTTTAAGTACCTTTAATAACAAATGAATTTATCATTTCTTGCCAGAATTTGCTATCATAAAATGACTGGGGTAATTCTGTTGCAAGAACATTAACATTTAGTAAGACTCCTTTTTACTGTATTCTCGCAGTTAATGACTGCAGCTATTACATTAATAACAAGTTGTTTGTATTTCATTTTTGTTTATACCAGTCTTAACACAGAGATACACATTCTGAATAAAAAAACAAATTGAATTCATGCAATTGATGTGTACTGGGGTTTGGAACTAAAAAGTAGTTTCAAAAGTACTTAAGTTATAACATCTTATGTTTTCTTGTTCCTATGTATATTCAGTAGTTAATTTTAAGATTTCCTAATGATCTCTATAAAAAGAAATGCTGTACCTTTTAAGGAATTACCCTTTCAATTTTTTGTATTTATCTTTTTCTATTCTTGTTGCAACTAAAAGATACGATGTCAGAGTGGGATCCCTTTAGTCCAAGGCCTCACCTCCAACTTTGCAGAGAATTCCTTTTATCAGTTTGTATAGAGATTATGGGTGCCATTAACACAAGCAAGTCACTGATGCTGCTGATTTCTAGCCTGAGGATGTACCCCCTCTCCACCTTAATAAGATTCTGGCAAATTCCTGTTGGCCTCCTGGAAAGCATCCTTGTCTCCTTAATACTTTATTTACAGACTACCTCTTTAAAGGGGTTGCTTTCCAAAATGTTCAGTCTCCTCTGTTTTGTGTTGTGATAATATTTTCAAAGAGTGATATTTTCAGGAGTATATTGTTTTTTTAAAACCTGTAGCTCCTATGCACTGACATAGTTTATAGACATTATTTAGGGAAAATGTAGGAAAAACTCAATTTATGCTGCTGTCTGACAAAGGAAATTACATGATGAATCTAGTATGTCTTTGGTGTTAAGAAACATATTGGAATTCCTGTAACTTGGCACTTCAAGTGAGTAAATTTTTGTATTCCATAGGGGATTTTGTTTTTTAATAATCTAAGGAAATTTATTTTTTGTCC